AACACATGACCTAGGAAAAGTAAGAATGGAAAAATATATAATGCTAACAGTCTAACAGTGAAGAAATGAAAGCTGGAGTAGCTATGTTAATCTTGGACAAAGCCAGTTTCAGAACAAAGAAGTCTGTTAAGAGGTTCTGTAAAATGATCTAAAAGTTTACACAGTAAGAGTTTTAAAATACATGAAGCATAAACTGAGAATTTAAAGGAGAAACAGACCAAATGCACATTTATGTGCAGAGACTACAATACCCCTGTTTCAATAGGTAGAACAAGTAGGCAAATTATTTGTGAGGATATAGAAGCCTTGGAACAATACAATGTACCAACTTGACCTAATTGAGAAAACCCCACCTTTATTCTCATTCCTGATGTTGCAATTTGTGTTTTCCCTTTTTCTTGATCAATCTGGCGAAAGGTTTATCCATTTTTTAAAAAATTCTCAGTAAAGATTTTCTGGTTTCATCATTCTCTATTGCTTTTCTGTTTTCTATTTCATTTACTTCCACTTTGGTCTTTATTATTTCCTTTTCTTCTGAACACACTGCTATGGAAGAGACCATCCTCAATCTAACAGAGGGCATCTATGAAGAGCTTAACAGTCATTACAGTTAGTATTGAACTTAATGGTAAAGGCTGAAGGCTTTCTCCTTAAGACCAGGATTAACGTAAGCATCTCTGCTCTCTCCACTTCCACTCAGCCTTGCACTGGGGATTCTTGACAGTGCAGTAAGGCAACGAATAGGAATAAAGGCATCTAGACTGTGGAGGAGGAAGTAAACTATTTGCAAACAACATGATAGTTGATGTGGATCTTCTGATGGAATCTACAAAAATGGTAGTGGAGCTAAAAGGGGAATTGTAGCAAGGTTACAAAATACAAGATCACTATTCAAGAATTATTTCTATATACTAGCAATGAATAACAAGTGAATCAAAATAATACCATTTACAATAGCATAATAGATATGAAATACTTAAGGGCAAACTGGAAAAGGTTTGCAAGGCCTATATGCTGAACTCTAAAAACCATTGCTGAGAGATGTGAAAGATCCATACATAAGAGACATACTGTGCTCAAGAGTTGAAAAACTCAGCATACCAGTTCTCTCCAAATTAATCTCTAAATTCAGTGTAATCTCAGGAAACATTTTATGGTAAAAGTTGACAAACTGATTTTATATGGGAATGGAAATATTTGCAGAAATATTTGCGAACCACGTGTTTGAGCACTTGTATTCAGAATATAAAAAAACGCTCAAAACTCCATAAGAAAATAAGCAACCCTATAAAATGGATAAATTATTTTAATGGGCACTTCACCAAAGATGTGTAGATAGCAAATAAGCACAATGAAAAGGTGGTCAGTATTGTTAGTTGTCTTGGAAATGCAGCTCAAAACCACAACAAAGTGTCACTTATAGTCACTGGGACTGCTGTAGTTAAGGAGTCAGACAATAACAAGTACTGCTGAGCAGGTGAATGCCCTGGAGTCCACATACATTGCTGGTGGGAATGAAGATGGCGCTGCTTCTGTGGAAACAGCTTGGCAATTTCTTTAAAAAATTAAAAAGAAATTTGATCCAACATTTGCATTCCTGGGTCTCCACTCAAGAGAATTAAAAAATCTGCACAACCCACAAAAAACCTGTCCATTAATGTTCATAGCTTTATTGTTCAAATAGCCAAAGAGTGGAAACAGCCCAACTGGCAAATGGGTAGATAAAATGTAGCCTCTCTACATGGCAGTAAGATGAATGGGGTCCTGATATTTGTTATAACATGGATGAATCCTGAAGATATTAGGCAGGTGAAGAAAACCAAAAGGACCACATATATGATTCTATTTATATAAAATGTCCAAAAAAGGTAAATCTACAGAGATAGAAAGCAGATTAGTGGTTGCCTGAGGGTGGGAATAGAGACTGACTTCATTTGTGCCAAAGCATTTGGGTATGATGGAAAGTTCTAAAATTGAATTACAGTGATAGTTGCATAACTCTGTGAATTTATTAAAAATTTTTTGAATTGCACACTTTATATCATATATATTATATCTCATTAGAGCTACTAAAAATGCTATACAGTGATTTGGGCTGCATAGTATTGGAAAAATAACAGACAAGTAGATCAATGCAGCAGAATAGAGAGCTCAGAAACAGATCTGCTCAGCTATAGTCAACTGATCAACGGGACCAAAGGCAAGTCAATGAGTAAAGGGTAGTTTTAAACAAATAATACTGGAACAACTGGACATCCAGATACAAAAAATAAAATTCTAGATACTGACCTTTGACAAGTATTAAGTTGAAATGGGTCATAGATCTAAATGTGAAGTACAAAACTTTAAAACTTCTAGGAGATAACAGAAAATCTAGGTGACCTTGTGTTTTAGTCATCTTTGCGTCACTATGACCAAAAGACCTGATAAGAACAATTGAGAGGAGGAACATTTTCATTTGGCTCATAGTTTCAGAGGTTCAGTCCCTGGTTAGCTGACTCCATAGCTCTGGGCTGGGGTGAGGCAGAACATCATGGCGGAAGGGCATGGTGGAGGAAAGCAGCTCAGGACATGACAGCCAGGAAGCAGAGAGAGAGCTTTGGTTCATCAGGGACAAAATATAACCCCAAGGAATGTCCCCGTGACTTCTCTTATTCAGCCACACCCTACCTGCCTATAGTTACCATCCATTAATCCAAATCAGTGGATTAATTTACCATTTAGGTTAAAGCTCTAAATCTCATCATTTCGCTCCTAAACATTCTTGCATTGTCTCACACATGAGCTTTTGGGGGCCATCACATAGTGCAACCATGACACCTTGTGTCTGGAATGAGATCTTTATAAACCAAAAGCACAATCCATGAAAGGAAAAGTTAGTGATTTAGAATTTATTAAAGTTAAAATGTTCTGTGAAAGATGTGGTTAAAGGAGTGAAAAGAGAAGTCACAGGCTTGGAGAACATATTTGCAAAGTAGATGTGATAAAGGACTTGCATTGAGAGATACAAAGAACTCTGAAAACTCAACACTAAAAATACCCACAAACAAACCCCAAACCCAATGCAGTTAAAAAAGGAGCAAAAGATCTGATCTGATTATATTATTTGAACAATAATATAAAAATATAGTATTTATTATAAATAATAAAATGTATTTATTTAGTGATTTCATATAAAACCAAACATTCTCTTACCGTATGATCCAGCAGTTGCACTTTTTGGCATTTACCAAATTGAGTTGTAAACATGTCCACACAAAAAACTCACAATGTGAAGGTTTATAGCAGTTTTATTCATAACTGCCAGGACTTGTAAGTAATCAAGATACTCTCTAAGTGGTAAGTAGAACATTATTTAGCAACAAAAATAAATGAGCCATCAAGCTAACACAAGACATAGAGGGACTGTAGGTTCTCAGTGCTAAGTTCCAGCACCAGGCTGAGAAGTGTATGCGCTGTGTGACTTCAACTGTGTGGTATTCTGGGAATTTTGCTGTTTGCTGAGAGCAACTTGGGTAACACCATTATCCAAAATGGTGCATGTTAGGCCATCGGTTCTTTCCTGACCTTTAGTGTCTGGTCCACTCCTCAGAGTGGTGTCCATCGTGAAAATCAGCAACTGATGCAATGAGTGTTGGTTGGAGGCCAAAGACCTGGGTTTGGCCCTGTTGTGCCTTCGATGGTCAGTTCCCCCCTTTACTGTGGCAGTTCTCGTGTCTTCATCTCAGACTCCGAGGGCTCCTAGTTGTCCGTGTTCAGGAGGTCAGGTGGGCATTTTAGGGGGGTGTTTTGGTAGTGTTGTGCTCCAAACCAGTGGGTCAGTCTGCTTCCTATTCCTCTAGCAAAATGTCTGAGATGATCAACTTATAAAGAGAAAAGTTTTATTTTGGCTCAGAGCTTTGGAGCTTCCAGATAATAATCAAATGGCCCTGTTTCTTCTGGATTTGTGGGAAGCCAGCACATGGTGGCAGGAGCGCATGACAGAACGAGCCGCTCACCAATGGCCAGGAAGCAAGAGAGGGCAGGAAGGGGCTGGGTCCCACGGTCCCCTTCCAGGGCAGGCCCCCAGTGACATGAGTACCTCCCCTCTGGATCCCCCTTTAAAGGTGCCATGTGTCCCATAGCAACACTCTGGGGGTCACCCTTTGACACGTGTGTCTTTGGGGTACACTTAAGATCCAAGCTATAGCAATCAGCTTTATTTATATAAAAAAAATGTAGGGGCTTGTGCTGTCTGGGTGAGCTCTCTCTATTAGAGTTTTCCAGAGAGACAGAACCAGCAGTGGGTGAGGTTCTGTCTCACTGGGGTAACTTGCAGTCAGCAAGCTGGAGCCCCAGGACTGGTGATGGTGTAGTTTCAGTTGAGTCCGAGAGCTGGAGGACCCAGGTTCATTTCAGAAGATGGCAGGCTCAAGGCCCAAGAACAGACAGCATTTCCATGCAAATCCAAAGGCCGGAGGAGACCAGATCCCAGCTGTGTGTACTCACAAGTGTGGGGGTGTTCCCACTCCCTCAGCGTTTTTGTTCTATTCAGGCCTTTAACTAATTGAGTGAGACCCACCCATGTTATCGAGGGCAGTGTGCACACTCAGTCCTCCAAGTCAAGTGTTAAGCTAACCCAGAAACACCCTCAGACACACTCAGAATAATGTTTGCCCTAAAGTCTGGGCACCCTGTAGCCCAGTCAAGTTGACACATAAAGTTAACCACCATGCTTTCAGGTCTGGATGAGGTCCTGGTGAGGTGCTGGGTCAGGTTCTCAACCTCAAAGTGAATAGATTTTTCTATATTTCAGAGCCTCTTCTCTGCTGGACGCTATGGGTGTTCCTTTTGGTGTTCCATTTTGATGTTTTATTTTGTCCTTAAGGAAGACAGAGGGAGGAGAATCTGCTTCTCTGATAGGCTGTGAGATCCTAGGACCATATTATGGCTCTGAAACACAACATTTAAAAATCAAGCCCCATGAAGAACCCTCACCAGATTTTTTGTTTGCTTTTCAGGACTCTGTTTAGAGAAGCTGCCTATTTCGTCTTCCACCAGTAATCTCCACATGGACCGGGAGCAGGATGTCATCACCTGTTATGAGAAAGCTGGGGACATCGCCCTCTTGTACCTCCAGGAGATAGAAAAGGTATGGGGACCGAGCATTCGCCCAGTGGTGACTTTTATTCTAAATCAGATTGTGCCCTGCGGCCGACCTTGGCGAGCTCCCACCTGCCTTCAGCTTGTGCGCCAGGCCTTCCCCGCCTTTCTGGCTGGCAAGGAGAAGACGCAGTGATTGTGCTGCCTTGTTTGGGAACAGATGGTTCCATGTGGGAGCCACTTCTGGGTTCTCTGAGCAGAAGTGCAGCTGGTTGTCCCTTGGCACCCTGAGGCCAACAAACACCCTGTTTTCTCTCCTAAGCAAAGTGGGTTGAGCTTCGTTCACCCTTGTGTGTCCGGAAGCCGGGATCTGTTCATCTGGGTCTGGAGGCTTTGCCCCGTGGCTGTGGTGAAGGTCTGCTGGGGACTGGGACCAGCCTGTGTGGAGCAAGTTCTGTGTCCCTGAAGGTCATCTGGGATGGTCTTCTCCAGCGGCCATGTCTGCCTGAGTGTGGGGAATGCAACCCCAGCTGGCAGAGGCCACCAGAGCAGAGGCCAAGCGAGCAAGAGCCCTGAGCTCGCATCCGGGGCAGGGAGGCTGGAGGCTGGAGGCTGGTGGCTGGTGGCTGGTGGCTGGCTAGGCCAGGGAGGGTAGACGGCCAGTTTGGAAGGACCCTTGCTCTGTGGCTCTGCTCTCTTCTGGTTCCGTCACCTTGTGTCTCAGCGTTCCCATCTGTTAGAAGAGCATTGATGACAGTTCTGGCACTCTCGTGGCACTCTTGTGGGGTCACGTAGGTCATGTGGAGAAAGACCCTCGGCCAGGCTTGGGAGCATGTTCAGTTCTGGTGAATGTCCCTTAGTTTTAATCACAGTAGCTCTCAGGTCTGCTGCTGGTGGAACTTCCTGGAGTCCTTACCACTGCTGGCCGCGACCTCGAGCCCTCAGGCCCATAGGCGCCCTGTGGGGCTGCCCACGGTGGTCAGGAGCCTGGTGCGCTCGGCCTCGCCTTCCCTCCTTGATGGGGTGCTCTCTCCTCGTGAGAGGTAGAACAGAGAGGGACTTCCTAAGTCTGTGAGCTCTGTCATTTTAGACTTGTGTGGACTGGGAGTCATTTTTGAAATCACTTTGCTGTATGTTGGTGTCTCCTGAGGCTCAGAATTGCCTGTGAGGAGTCGGGGAGTCGCGAGGCCCGCAGAAGATGAGTGGCTGGGGAGAAGGGTGGCTGGGGAGAAGGGTGGGAGCAGCGCTGACCTGGCCTTAGCCGGGATGGATTGGAGGGCCCTGTCCTGGGAACTCGGGGTCTCTGGCTATCCTGCCAAGATGTTGTTCTGTCAGAGGTTCTCTGGGGAGGGAATTTTGTTGTTTTTGTTATTCAGATTTCCCACTATGACGGGGGAGAAACGCCACGCAGGCTCCTTTGAAGGCACATCCATCTTGCCTGCCAGCCTCGGCGCTGGGCCCAGACCTCTGCTCATCCAGCTGCGTTGCTCACAGAGCCAAGGCCGCTGCGGGGCCCTTATTATTCTACCACTGCTGTCCACGCTACCACCTTGAGCGGCCTTTTCCTGAGGGGGAAAGGAGGCGCGTCTGCTCGATGCGGCAGACCCTCCGTCACCCGTGGTGCTCATTCCCACCCCCGCTCACCACTGGGCTCTTCAGCTGGGCCGTCAAGGAGGCTCCTGCAGTCAGAGTGTAAAGACGGATTCTTCTGTTGTTTGTTCACTTTGGTTCTGGGGATGTGGTGACCACAGGAGTTAGATTTTGAGGAGGAAATCGAGGCCCGAGGACACATGTGGAAGCTAGAGCTAGCAGGAGGTGGCGGCTCTCCTCCCATGCCATGCTCCCTCGTTTTTCCAGTGTGGACAAACACGATGGTGCCGTCCCCAGGGTCTTCCTTATGGAAAGTGCTCAGTCAGCAGGGACCAGGCGAGCCCTGGCTTTTAGTCACAGGAGGAGGCAGCTTTATCAAATTCGGTCTAAATTGTAGCACATCTAGGTGACGGTCACCTCTTTTCTGGCTGTGCTGTAGTTTTTGGTGTGAATTTTCCTTTATGAAACCCTCTTGGGCCTCCCCAGATTTCAGCAAGCTGGGTTATTGGCAGTGAGAGAGATCAAACGAACCAAACATCTGCTGTGACTGTCGTAGGTGCCAGGAAATTACGTGATGGTCAATCTGAAGTCTGGGGAAGGTGACCTTCTACCAAGCCCACTGGTGGGCTTGGTAGAAGCTGCAGGGTTGGTGGCTGGGTGGTTGTGCTGTGTGAAGATACCTGATAGACCTTTCAATTATTTTAAACTTAATTGATTTAATTCTAAACTTAATAAGAATCATGCTGAATTGAAAATGGAAACGTTAGTGAAACAGAATCTGAAAGAAAGAAAACCCTTGAGCAAGCCAGGGGGGAACAGTAGCTGCTGTGGAGCAGCCCTGTGAGCAGAGATCCCGCTGCTGTCGTCCTGTGCAGCGGCCCCGCCCACCATTCTGTACTGCCCCTCTATTGTTGGCTCTTAACTTCATTCATTAAAGATAATAAGATTTGGGGACTAATGTTTTTTTCTATCTGTAAAAGCCAAAAAAATCGTGAGTCAGAGGCTGCACCATTCTGTGAGTTTCCCCACAGTGGGTTTGTTCAGCCATGTCGGAGTTGTTCACTTCGTGAAGGGCAGCGACCCTTCAGAAAGAGGGCTGACCTTGGCTTCCCCTTGAGGCAGCTAACTTAAGTGCTTAAGAAACAGCAGAGCTGCTGTAAGGTGACTTGGTGCTGGAGCCCCAGCCTTGCCACCTCTTAGCTGTGGAACTTTGGACAAGTGACTTAACCTCTCTGTGCCTCAGGATCCTGATCTATAAATAGCAATAATCATCACCAGATGCCATGTGAGGGCAAAGGGGGTGTGCAATGTGCTGTGAGCACGCAGTGAGGTGCTGGCTTTGTTGTCTGTTCCTGGGTCACCTGGCTGTGGAGTCTTTCCTAACATTTGACAAATTTCTCAGATAACAATCTGGAATATCGCTGACATTCTGTTTTACTGGAAATGTAAAGAATTTTTAGGGGAATGTTCCTGAAGAGCTAGGTTGCCCATCTGTGCTGAAGCTCCTGGAGCTATATTTTTGCCTAGTGTCCCTCTTTCTGGGTTCTGAGTCTCTATCGCTCTGGCTGACCTTGGCCTGCTCCTTTGTTTCCATGTGGTGGAGCCCATCCTGCCTGACGAGGCCTCAGGGCTGGAGACCAGCGCTTGCTGAGGACCAGAGTGCACGGGGGATGCTGGGAGCTCCCCGTTCCCACTAGGGGGGCAGGGCCCGAGGGGGCGTGCATAAATGAAGCCCTGTGCATCAAATAATTGTGTGTTTATCATGTTAGGGTTACGGAGACATGGACTAATGATCTCTGTGATAGTTTGTTGTTGTTTGTTGTTTTGAAGGGGAATAAAATAAAACTCCAATATTGTCCATATAAAATAATTTACTCAAATAAATCAAATCAGTGCAGATGAAATGAGCAATTGCATAGGACGGCCTTGCTCAGATGGTGGCATTATGCCAAGAGTAGATCGTTCCCTGTCCTGCAAGGAGCTCCCGAGGTGCAGTGGTGGGAGTGAAGGTGACTCCGGTCTGGAGCTCACGATTCGAGCCCTGCGTTTGGCACATGCAGTCATCCTGTCCCTGTTCTGCAGCACCAGCCAACCAACTGGTCACAGCTTTTTTTGGCAGAAGCAGTGCCAGGTGGGACTTGGCCCTCTGTTGACAGTTCATTTCTTTACATCCTATTTTAGAAAGGAAATCAGTGCTAAATTAACTTTTTTATTGGCTGTTTTAATGCTAAAGTTCCAAGAAACACCAGGCCCCTGGATCTTGCATCGCACGGCCCACATTTCCCGTGTCCATCAGGAAGCTGTTTGCGGGTAGCATCGCGGGCCTTGGGTTCATGATGTCCTCCCTGTGGAGGAACTTGCCTGTGGCGTTGGGTCCAGAACCAGATTAGTTCACACCAGGTGTCTTCACAGTTGGTGCTGCCGTTGAGAGGCGGGAGTGAGTCTAGAGTACCCAGGGCTGTACTGTGGCTTTAACACCTGGCCCAGGGAGGAAATGCCACTGCTTGTCCTCCTTTCCATGGCGACCTTTCATTCTCACAGAAGCAGCACATTGTAGCTCAGGGCTTACCAAGGTGGAGCTGAAGGCAAGCTTCCTAGCAGAAGCCTCCAGAAACCCACCAGCCAGGCTGCTGCCTCTGCCCTGGTACCGTCCGCCGACTTTGAGCCTGTCATCTTGACTGATTGGACTAGGAGGCCACAGTGCTCCTAAGAATGAGTTAGAAAAGTCTAAAACCAGAAAAGAGCAGTCACTTATTTTCATTTTTTAATTCTTGCTGCCAGTCTTTGCTCTTATAACTGAAGGGCTTTCACATACCATTAGACTCCACATTGTTTTCCTGGTAATATAATATTTCAAGATGTGTTTAACTAGTTGTGGGTCCACCTTGTTTAAAATTCCAGGGTCAGGCCTTCCTCAGTTCACTTCTCCCCTTACTTTGTTATTTCCTAACAAATTCACGGAAGTGGAGCTAGTTTTGCCATCTTCCTTACCACCTGTTGTGTCCAGTTGATTTTGACAAATCATACATCCTGTGACGTTGGCAGCAAAGGAGACGAGCCGTTGCTTTGTAGTCTTGGAAACTTGATGAAAAGTTGTTTGCGAGGTGAAACTAGTACCTTGTGAGTTTAGTTTGCATTTGTCATCATTAATGAAATCCATGTTTCCTTATATATTTGCTGGCTGTTTCTTTTTCTTTTTTCTTTCTTAAAATAATAGCATTATTGAGATCTAATTCACATATTGTATGATTTGTCTTAATATTTAAGTTGTGTGCTGTACAATTTTTTTTCTTCAGATAGGGTCTCATTTTGTTTAACAGACTGACCTCAAATCTTGAGCTCAAGTAATCCTTCTGCGTCAGCCTTCTGAGTGGCTGGGGCTAGAGGTGCACACCACTGTGCCCAGCTCTCTGTGGTTTTTAATATGTCTTCAGGGTTGTGTAACCATCACCAGTAATG